CGGCCGAGGAAGCTTCCCACGGCTGATGTCCTTATTATGACTTCCCAGATGGTCCATGTTTTCATGGTCCATGTCCTTGGATAGAACAGAGCAATGTGTGCATTGCTCCTACACAACAGTCAGGGTGTGCCCTGACTGTTTCCAGGTGCATGAACGCTACATGAACCCTTCAATGCATGAAGTCTCTAAGGAGCCACAAGTACTCCTTTTTCTTTTTACTTTGCTTAAGAGTCCTTGGTGAGGGACCTTGTCAAAGACTTTTTGAAAGTCCAGATAAACTATATCCACTGGATCACCCTTGTCCACATGCTTATTGACCCTCTCAAAACAATTCTGAGATGGGGGAGGTAAGATTTTTCCCTTTAAAAAGCCATGTGACTTTTTAACAAAACCTGTTAATCTATGTCTGATAATTCCATTCTGTACTATCATTTCAGTAAATTTGCCTGGTACTGAAGTTAGGCTTACTAGCCTATACTTCCTAGGATCGCCTCTGGAACTTTTTTAAAAAATTGGCATCATGTTAGCTATTCTCCAGCCATCTGTTTACAGAAGTTATTTAATGTTATAGGTTTCAGATCAGTTAGTAGTCCTGCAATTTCATATTTGAGTTCTTTCAGAACTCTTGGGTGAACGCATCCTGGTCCTGGTGATTTATTACTGCTTGATTTATCAATTTGTCCAAAACCTCAATCTGGGACAGTTCCTCAGATGGGTCACCTAAAAATAATAGCTCAGGTTTGGGAATCTCCCTCACATCCTCTGCAGTAAAGACTGATGCAAAGAATTCATTTAACTTCTCCACAAAGCCTGTATCTTCCATGATTGTCCAGTGGCCCCACTGATTTTTGGCAAGCTTCCTGCTTCTGATGTACCTAAAAACAATGCTATTAGTTTGAGTCTTTTGCTAGTTGCTCTTCATTCTTTTGAGCCTGCCTAGTTATACTTTTACACTTGATTTGCCAGAGGTTATGCTTCTTTCTATTTTCCATCAGTAGGATTTAACTTCTAATTTTTAAAGGATGACTTTTTAACTCTGTTTTTACCATGGTGGCTTTTTTTTTTTTTTTTGTCTGCCCTTTTTAAAAAATTTGAGATTCTTAATTTGAGCCTCTATTGTTTTTAAAAAGTTTCCATGCAACTTGCAGACATTTCACTCTTGTGAATGTTTCTTTTAATTTCCATTTAACTTGCTTCCTCATTTTGTGTAATTTCCCTTTCTGAAGTTAGAGGTTACTGTGGTGTTCGTCTTTGGTATTTTTCCCCCCCTCACAAGGATGTTAGTTTAATTAATTATATTATGGTGCTATCACTGTATGGTTCAGCTACAGTAAAACATGCCAAGAATGACCACTCATGGGAGTTAGCAAGTGGTCACTTGTTAGAGGTGGTCTCTCTTCAAAGGTTTACTGTAAAATGGACACTTATACCATGTACTCAAAGACTACTATTGGTAACAATGTTTCAGATTTAATTTGAATTGCCTTTTAAATGAACATTACATACACCATACAGTACTGTACTATGGATTTATTAATACAGTAGTACAGTATAGAAAAGTACAGTTTTTCAAATGGGAGCTCCTGACCCAAAAGAGGGTTGCAAGCCTATTGTAGGGGGGTCATGGTATTGCCACCCTTACTTCTGTGCTGCCTTCAGAGCTGGGTGGCTGGAGCGTGGCAGTTGCTGGCCGGGCACCCAGTTCTGAAAGTAGCATCGCCACCAGCAGCAGCACAGAAGTAAGGAAGATTGGTTTCTCCTACAGGTTTGTTTTTATGGATAGGAGTAAGAAAACGTGGTCGCTGGTTGCACATGACAGGTCGTCACTCTTCATAGTTAAATTATAGGGGGGAAATGTTCCATGGCCTCTGCAAGTAGTTGCTCATGAAAGGTGGTTGCTAAGGCAGATTGGACTGTATATTCACCTCTTGGACCAGATTCTGTGCTCCACTTAGGACTAAATCAAGAATTGCCTCTTCCTCTTGTGGGTTCCAGGACTAGCTGCTCTAAGCAGCAGTTATTAATAGAGTGTCTAGAAACTTTCTCTGCATCCCATCCTGAGTTGATATGTTCCCAGTCAATATAGGGATAGTTGAAATCCCCCATTATTACTATTGAGGTTTTTTAAAATTTTTATAGCCTCTCTAATCTCCCTGAGCATTTCACAATCACCATCCTGGTCAGCAGTATATTCCTACTACTATACTTTTATTATTCAAGCATGGAATTTCTATCCCTAGAGATTCTATGGTACAGTTTGACTCATTTAAGATCTTTACTATATTTGACTCTATGCTTTCTTCACATATAGTGTGTCCCCCCACCCCCACCACGACCTACTCCATCATTCCTATATATTTTTTTACCCTGGTATTACCATATCCCATTGATATCTCATCCTTCCACCAAGTTTCTAGGGTGCCTAGTAGATCAATACCCTCATTTAATACCAGGCCTGCAAGTTCACTGATCTTAGTATTTAGACTTCTAGCATTTGTACACAAGCACTAATACATTGTCACTTTTTAGTTGTCTGTCCTCTATGTGATGTAATTGAATGAGACTTTCATTTGACTTTCTCTTCAGTTCTCCCTGTACTTTATCAGCTTCTATCCTCTCCTCTTTACTAGGATACAAAGAATCCCCTGTAATAAATCTGCCCCAAGGGATGTCTCTGTCAGAACCATGTGCTCCATACCTGTCACCTTTCCCCCAGCCCTTAGTTTAAAAACATCTTTACAACCTTTTTAATTTTACATGCCAGAAATCTGGTTCTATTTTGGTTTAGGTGGAGCCCATCCTTCCTGTATAGGCTCCCCCTTTCCCAAAAGGTTCCCCAGTTCCTAATAAATCAAAACCCCTCCTCCCTACACCATAGTCTCATCCATGCATTGAGACCATCCAGTTCTGCCTGTCTAACTGGAACTGGAAGCCTTTCAGAGAATGCTCCCATGGAGGTCCTGAACGCCAATCTCTTATCTACCCCTAAATTTGGCCTCCAGGACCTCTCTCCAATCCTTCCCTATGTAATTGGTACCTACATGTTCCGTGACCACTGGCAGGATCCTCCCCAGCACAGCACATAAATCTGTCTAGATGTCTGGGAGATGTGCAACCTTTGCACCCGGCTGGCACTTCACCATGTGGTTCTCCAAGTCATCACAAACCCAGTTATCTGTATTTCTAAAGATCAAATTTCCCCCATAACTATTACCTGTCTTCCTATTAACTGGAGTTCCCTCTCTTGGAAGGGTGTCCTCAGTGAGAGAAGATACCATGACATTATTGGGAAGAAGGGTCCCAACTACAGGGTCATTGCCTTCTGCTCCAGCTTGATGTTCTCCTTCCCTGAGACTTTCACCCTCCTCAATAGCACAGGCTGTCAGACTGGGGGTGAGACCCGCTCTACTGGGTCCTGGAAAGTCTCCTATGTACATCAGTCATCTTCAGCTCCTCTGGTTCAGTACTCTGGTCTCTCAGAACCCCTACTCAGTCACTGAGGGCCATGAGCTGCTTGCACCAAATGCATAGTACACCACCTGCCTCTATACTTAATTGCATACTCAGTTGTCTGTGTATTGTAGGTTAAAGTGTAGTTGACCAGTCTGTCATGTATAAAGCACTTTTATCTTTTCTTCTCCTGATGCCCAGGGAGCTTCTTTACTGCACACTGACATATTCTGGTGGCCCCAGTCTGTGGTATGCACCCTTAGCTTATGTTGGTTAATATTCCCAGTTGCTCTCTTTTTGTTAGTTATGTATCCCTGGATTACCTGTTCTATTCATTCCCTCTGGGGCACCTGGCACTGGCCACTGTCGGAAGACAGAATACTGGGCTAGATGGACCTTTAGTCTGACCCAGTATGGTCATTCTTATGTTCTTAATATGATTGACTTCTCTAAATTTTTTGGTTCCAGTAACCCACCCAAGTTTATACACAGATGAGCTCAGTTTGTTCACAATGTGATAGGGTCCAAGCCATCGCTGAAACAAGTTATGCTTCGGCACAGGCTATGACAGACATGGGGCCTGGTTTTCTATTCTTTAATTTTTCTTTTACACATTTATTAAAATTTTTGTGTTTGTTTTGAGTTTCCTAGTTCATTAGCACATATACCTGTTTTAGATGCTTTTGCAGTTTTTGCATAAAGATGTCTTTTTTCCTTAACATGTGCATTACTAGTTTTCCATAATAAATATAGTGCTTGATGCCAAGATAGTGCTCACAATGTTCTGAGATTAATTGCACTCCTCCCTATCTACCACCAGGGCACTCTGTTTTAGCAAGAAAGTTAGCAACAATTTTTATCAAGGTTGTTAGTTAATTTGTATGTTATAGCTATTCAACTTCATTTTAAAGCACAAACTTTTATAACAATACATTGTTAACACAGCACAAAACAGCATAAAAATTAAAGCAAAATGAAGTTTAAATGAAATTTGATAAATTCTTATGACATTTACTTGTGCTTGGGAGAGAAATCTGCTGAAATTTATTAGGCTAACTTTAACATTATGCAACATAATGAGAAAATTAGTTTAAACACTTGGTTATTAAATTTAACTATTTTAATATTTAATAAAGGTGCAACTAAGTGATCTTATTAAATGTTTTTGCATTAATATTGAGACCTTTTCCCCCACAGTTTTAAAACATTTTTTGTTTGCAGTTGAATTTGAGGCAGAAATATATACATATTTATAAACCGACCCCATTTTGAACTTTGCAGAAAAACTGAAGTGGTATTATGAAGTGCAACCATAATATCAAAACAGTACCATTAATGTTAAACACTTTTATAATTGTGTGTGCAAAATTGATTTTGTTGCAACAAAACTGAAATATATAGTAAAATAAAAGCAAGAATAGTCACATGACACACAGGATAACATGACATATAGGATTACTTACAATTAAAGACAAATAGTGCCAAAATTGTTAAATATACAAGATGAAGCATTAAAAGTTACTATAGTAAGGTATGCTACAAAATAAAAATTAGGCAGATTTTTTTATTTAAAAACTTAATTGATTAAAATCCCATATTAATTTGTCAAGGCAACTTACATTACTTTACAATATGCTTATTTTAAGAATACTACTATACAGAAATAAGAAATCAATATGTATTCATTAGTGTCTAGTTAAAGAAAAAAAGCAGTTTTAGGATCAAAAGCAGAGTTAGCATTCTGTTGCTTGGCAACAATATTTTTAGGTATTGAATTCCAGAAGGGTTAAAATTCATTTTACTGAATTTATTTAAAGTAAAGCTTTTACCTTTGGCATTTTGGTAATTTTGTTTCTTTTAGTTTCTGTCTCTTTCTCAAACAGGAATTTCTGTAATAATTATCACTTAGTTTTTAAATTGCAGGAAGGGAAGTGACAGAATCGATATAGGAAAGGAAGTAAGCACAAGCCAAGGGATAACTAACTAATTCTGGTAGGGCATTTCAAAGCAGACAGCAGCAGTGAGTTCAGCAAACTGAGCCAAGTGAAGAATACAAAAGAAAAGGAAGATTTGGACAGAGAAAGGACAAAAACTAGAACCAAAAGTAAAAATATTAGAGAAGTTATATCATCAGCTGGGAGAGGAGTGGTTCTGTGCTTTAGAAGCAGGGGAGGGCTGAGAGCCAGGACCTGTTCTTTATCTTGGCTTCGGGAAGAGCATGGGGATTGCTACCTGTGCCTGCAAAACCTGTATTTGTTTCCCAAGTGCCTGCTGCTTTTGTCTGTACTCCAAATTGTTTACAGTAGTGCCCTTTCTTGCTTTGGATAATAGACTGTGTGTCACTGTATAAACAGCCATTCCTTTCTGCTCTTTGTCTTCTCCCTTTTTTGCCTTTTCCCTCCATCTCCAATTTAAACAAAATTACATACATGACTCAATGGATCACTTTTTGGATTGCCTTTAATGTGACCAAATCACTGCTATGGTCTTTTGTACTGTATGACAACATGCTTTAAAACATCCTGTTTCTCCCTTTCATTTGCTATGGCTTATTTTTATATGTCTACCTGGCGTTTTAGCACAAAATAGTGTTCTGTTGCAAGTAGTGGCCACTTAGCCTTTGCTTCATCTGGGTATTTTGCACAGAAAACATTTTACTTAATCTTTAAATATTCTTAAAAATATGGCTTTATGCCCAGAAGGCAGTTTTTGCTTTCCATAATCTGTTAACCAGTTATTTGCCAAAGTAACAATATAATTTTTCCCTGATTTAGCGAGGACCCCCAAAGTCCAATCTCTGAGACCGATACTCCAAATCCAACTAGCTAGCTCATGACCTCAGGACAAATGGGTTTGACTAATGCTTGACTAATGTCCCCTGGTCTTGTTTGCCAAATTGATTGATTTTTAATGGTATAACCAATTGATTTGACTACACTTTCGGCTCATTATTAAGGGCTTGTGTGCACTTAAAATGCTATAGCCACACCACTGTAATGCTTCAGTCCAGACACTATATAGGCCAACAGGCGGGATTCTCCCATCAGCATAGGTAATCCACCTCCCAGAGAGGCAGTAGCTAGGGTGACAGATCAATTTAACAACTCCACTCAAGGGGGTGGATTTTCCACTCCCAACTGACATAGTTAAACCAACCTAATCCTCTTGAGGTAAACCAGGCCTAAGAATGTTCAAGGGACCAACTGAACAAGCCTAGCCAAATTTATTGCCTAAAGACAAAACAGTACAATACGAAGCAGAAACATACATACCCTCCTTCTGGGAAGCAATTCTTCTCTCAGCATATTCACCTTTCACAGAAGGTGTGCTTCAAAGATATGCCCTCAAACCCACTTCTGTTTACAGTGTGATTGTTACAAGCTAAATGACCCACGCACATCCAGTTAAAGTTTAAATTTAACCTACTAGTTTGTGCCAGCTTTGTCCTTGGTACCTCCCTATACTTTTCCATATCTTGTTCTGAATATTACATTGCAAGTGTTGATGAGCCAGGAAAGTACTCCCTAACTGCACTTGGTACAAGGTATATATGCAGCTTTGCTTTGACAGGTTTCCTATTTTCTAATGCCAAAGCTGACTTCAGCTTTGCAGTGTTGTGGGATACTTGACATAGGTGAACAGAACTGTGGGAAGAGCATAATACAATCAGTTAACATAACTTCCCAACACCCAGATACATTAATACCATGCACATAAAACCTAGTAATTTAGTGTACACAAAGCCAAAACAGATGTACTAACAAAATGATGACCCTAAAAAGGCAGAATGTGGACAGTGACATTGATCCTATTTGTTTTTAAAGATAAGATTTATGAACCTCTCCTTGTACCATTAAAAACCCCTCAGCATGTACAATTGTTTATTATTTTATACACTTAAAAAAATGCCCATGCTTAAAGTGTGGAGAGCAATACCACATCTGTACTTAACTTCAGGGGACTGACTAGATGGTCTCTATTTTAATTTAAAACAATGTGCCACAAGCCAGTAAATTCAGAGGACAAGACCAGCCCCTACCATTTACAGCTACAACCTTCATTTGTTTGGATTCACAGGTGAAGTCACAAGCTATGCTGGGTCTGCTGGCTTCCTGCAGAAGAGTCTAAACACTGTTCTTCACCCGCTCATGGATTCCATTCTCATCAATGATCAACGGGGCATGAAATTCTTTGTTTTCCACATACTTTTCCAGACCCTAAAAGGAGAAAAAATAGCTGCTGTTAAGAAGCAGGTGACTACAGCCCAGTAGGTTTAGCAGCATTAAGAATGGCTCTACCTGCTAACTTAACCTAGATACTTAACTAAGTGGGGTGAGCAAATTAAAGTGAAGTTCCAGAGCAGAAAGCTTTGGTTAAATAGTTAATGCTCTGTGCCCATCCGCATGACAACCTTTAACTAAATATTATAATCATCATCTTAACCAGTTGTAAGATACAAGGTTCTGCTTTGTCTGAATGAGTGGCTCTCAGCCTTTCCAGACTACTGTATCCCTTCAAGAGTCCGATTTGTCTTGCATACCCCAAGTCTTGCCTCACTTAAACTACGTGCTTACAAAAAGACATGTCACAGCACACTATTACTGACAAATTGCTTATTTACCATATTATGAAAAATCAACTGGAATATAAACATTGTACTTACACTGAAATGTATAGTATACAGAGCAGTAGAAAAGTCATTGTCTGTATGAAATTTTAGTTTGTACTAATATCGCTAGTGCTTTTTCTGTAACCTGTTGTTAAACTAGGCAAATAGCTAGATGAGTTGGAAGACTTCTGCATACCCCCATGGGTACACATACCACTGGCCTAAACAGCAGGGCTCCTAGCATCACAGCTCTGGGGGCATGTCCCATCTACCATGCTGCCTAAGGGTGGTTTTTCAGTGATTTCTCAAGGAGTTTGAGCAGCTCTGACAAAGGGCACGTATGCAGAGCAATATCTGCAGCAAGGTATTCTGGGAAGTCTTCCTGCACAAGGAGGAACGGCCAAGCCAGAAAATGTCTTGGGGCAGTCCCCATCTGCTCTGTGCCCAGTTGACCATATGGTACAAGTTACGTAAAGACGTGTCAACCTGGGCCACCTTGCCACCACGGTTCCCAGCCAAGTTTGGCCAATGCTGCTTAGAGCAAGCCACAGCAGTAACTGGTCACCAGCTCAGTTAAAAGGTAGGGTGGACAGGACACAAGAGGGAAGTTGTACTGAACTGATGAGTGTGTAATGCCAGCAGTCAAAGGGGCTGTCCTGTGGACTGAATTGGTTCTTTACAATAAGTGCCAGCTTCCGATTCGCTGAGCTGGTCTTAATGAAACTCAAAGCAAGGGCTCTAAGCTGCACAGGTAATCCAGCAATACTCCCTTCAGCTACTAATTTGCGGCCTACATAAGAGTCAGCACCATGTACTGTAAGATGTTGCAGAATTTTGATGCATCCAGTTACAGTAGGACATACCAGTGACCTGTAAGACTGTTCTGATAACAGACTCTCTGCCATATTCACCAAGTAATAGCTGAAGGAGTGATATTTCCAGAAAGCCAAAGCATATCTGCCTGCTGAGCAGGCACACAAAGCAGACTCCCCTAGGCATGGGCAAAGTCAAGCCCTGAATAGACAAACAGTCCACCTCCAGAGCATCAAGGATGCACCTTGCCTAACTCAGTAAAGCCTGGGTAACCTCATAACAGGAGAAATTCTGGGAGTCTCTAACAAGCCAACTGTACCCTCCCCTTCTCTCTCTCTCCTCCCCCTTCAATTACAGAGCCTGCTCTGAGACAGATCATAACTTGCACAACCCACTCGGTCACCTGAAAACTTCATTAAGCTAGTCTACAAATGCATTTTCAGCTAGAATGAAGGGGGTGGGGGGGGAAAACTTACTTCACCACCATAGGAGATGAGAGGAGAAATTTCACACTGAATGGGCAAGTCGTTAGCGTCCTTCAAACTATGGCAGAAAGAGAAAAGTTGTGTTAAACATACTTTTAGTTGTGGTGACTATATCAGTAAGAGCCCTGGAGAATTCAGCCCTTAAACGCCAGCAGCCTTCCAGGTGTAAGCAGCTGCACTTTGTATAAGCAAACTGTGTGTGTTCACTAGTCCCTGATGCCAATGAAAGGGGCAAGTGCAGTATACTAAGGAATGAACATGGCTGGTACTCAGGCACTGCCTTCCAATGCCTGGCTCGCTCACAGGTTCATCAAGCCTCAGCTGTGCATGCAGGATTGATGCTTGCTAAGCCTGAGACAGAGGCAGTGGCTGATTGGGGAAGACCCAGTGAAGTGACACAGTGTGATCCTGTTCTCTTGTTTCCGCATGATCAGCCCGTCCCCCATGTTGTATCAGACTGCTTGTCTGTAAGGGTGCATGAGGTGTAGCTGTTTCAGGGTGCCTCAGACTGTCTCTGGGCCATGCAGGGACTCCAGCCTAATGCCAGGGTTTTTCTTAGTCTAATTCAGAAGCTGGAGGTGTGTTTTTGGAGTCAGAAGAAGCAAACAATTGTGAGCTGCATCTAAAGTTTTGCTAACCTTTTTAAAATGAAATTTCTTCCAGGAAGTCACATGAGATGGATCTGCGAGAGCTTCCAAAGCAGATTTTAGAAGGCTTTAAAAAGTACTGATCTCCTGGAGGGGTGTGTGTGTGTCTCTCTCTGTCCAGCTCTTAGCTCACAATCAAACACTCCATCTTCACTGAAGATGGAGTGTCAGACACCAGCACAATCAGCGTGTTACTCCAGAGGGAATTCTGTGCCAAAAAAATTTAAAATTCTGCACACAATATTTTAAATTCTGGATATTTTATTTGTCAAAACACAAAATCACACCACTTATTTGCTGACAAGTATTACATTACTAAAATTAAAATGGTGTGATTGTTTTGACAAAATATGCAGAATAAAAATTTAACGTTTTGATGCAGAATTCCCTCAAGAGTATCAGGGTTCTGTGTAGCGCCATCTGGGTGCAGGCAGCTCAGTGGAGGGGATCTGGATGCACAGGGGCTCACTGGGGGGTTCCGAGTGCAGGGGAATGGAACTCTGCAGTGGAGTCCAGGTGAAGGTAGTTATGGCTCAGTGTGGGGGGGCGAGACTGGGGAGGTGGGGGTGTCTGGGTGCAGAGGGGGCTTCTGATGCATGGGGGCTGGGCAGCCAGAGGGAGCAGCTCCCCGTACAGTGACCCCTCCCCAAGTGGCTGAGGAGTCACAGGGCCAGGAAGTAGGGGAGGGGTCACTGTACGGGGAGCTGCTCCCCCTGTCCACCCCAACCCCTATGCAGCTGGATACCCCCTAAATCTCCCCCCCCAACCAAACCTTGCGCAGACCCAAACCCCCACCCCACCAAGACTCACTCCCTGAACCCAGATTTCCCTGCCAAGCCCCCTGCAGGCTTCCTGTAGCTACAGAAGGTTTCTGGGGGTTGATCCGACTCTGCCCTGGCTGCTCTGTTCAGGGGAAGGGGAGGGGGAACAGGAACGCTGCCTCAGTCGTCATACTCCTCCCCCTCTGGCAGACCCCTTCCTTCCCCTGGGTGAAGATTTACCAAACAGACAAAACCATGCTGCCAGGGAGTGGTGAGTGAGCACTGGTGCAGCTTCTTTGCTTCCCCACAGAAAATGGTTTCTGTGGAAAAGCAAAGAGAAGGGACATGTTTCTGCATGTGCGCAGTGGCGCAGAATTCCACTAGGAATAGCATTTAAAATGAATCACAGAAGCAAGCAGCAAGTCTGAATGACCACTGTCTCCTAAAGAGTTCAAGGCATACCTTATCTCAAACACGTACAGGACAAGGCTCCTGTGGCAAATAGCCCCAATTCCTAACATTCTAAGGAAACGGTTTTCCAGTTAGTTTCCCTAGTGTGAGGCCTGAGATGAACACTGAAGAAGATGGTCTCCATTTATGGCTTGAAATACATAGACTCTCTGGAAGTACAAGTTCAAATGCCAACCGATGGTAGCTAGAGTTCCAACCAGCCTCTGGTGCAGGAAGAACAGTTTGACAGAAGGCCACAATGAACCCGTGCCTACTTTGCAAGGCCCTGAAGAGCTCTCATGCCATTTTCACATGGTTCGCTCTCACCTATTCCCAGTGTGTACTGGATTCAGATCCACTTACTAAAGAGAGACAGCACAGCCACAGAAGGGAGCTGAAGTCTTTCCTGGCTCCTGCATCAGCAAAACTAAACCCAAATTCCAACTGCCAGGCTAAGTTCTGCCTCAAGTTACACCACTCAGTCTCACTGCTGAGAGGAGCAATAGGAATGAACACACACAGGCCTGGACATGAGAGAGGTCCAGGCAAGAACACATGGAATATTATAAATCATTGATTTTGGATCTAGTGACCATGAGAAGCAACAGATACAGGATTCTTTAGCAGGACATGCTCTCAGTTTCCCCAGCATGCACCCTCGCTACCATTCTGTTAGTAGCTCCCAACCAGAAGCCAGTCACCATGAAAGCGGTGCACACCAACCAGTGCGAACTGCCACTCACCAGGCACTTGGCCTTGCAGTGAAATGCAGAGCCTGTTAGTACTTAAGTACAGCCCCATCACCATGCATGGCACACAGCCTGGCACTGGATATTTACTTGCAATTGACATCAGCTGTGATGGCATCTGGCTTTCCACTTGTGAAGCTGTTATGTGGGAATAAATAAGGGTTAAAGAGGACTGAAACAAACTGAAAGAGAACTAAACCAAGTTAGGAGGTAAAGCGGTTTGTCAGCCCCTTCCTGGAACCCCCTAGTAGTGATGGCTGTGGAGGAGAGCTGGTGAGAGGGATGGCCAGCAGCAGAGAGTACAATTGGCGGTGAGGATGCATAATAACTCTAGCTGCTCCTTAGGATAGGCTGTGTGGTGGAGAACTCTAGTAACCTCTTCACCGTATTGAACAAACTCAGCCCAACTGCCTGAGCTGGTCAGGAGCCAGAGGAGGGCAGCTCTCACCAGCAAAGTTACATGCAGCTACCTTTAATGCAGAGGTCGGCCTACAGGAGACTAGCAATACAACACTGATCTTCTGCCCATAGCAGTGGCCTTGGACCACATGGCAGAGCTCCACAAGCCATATTTCACTTGTGGGTGGCACTCTGACCACTATTGAGTGGTGGCCAGCTAGCCATCAGCTCCAGGTAACAAGTCTGCACAGGCTCTTGGAGGATCTGTTTGCTGGTTACTGAATGGTTGCACAGTGGCTGGGAACTATTTGCTAATATTTTCTCTGATCTGAATCCATGGGATGAAAAGAATTCTCTTATGTACAGACAGACCAGCCACTACCCGCTACTCAAGTCAGGTGCTCAGCTGAGTAACAGAACTACGTCAACTGGACAACACGAGTCAAACGCAGCCAAGCCTCTCCAGAAGGAACCTTTAAACCCTGAGGGCAGGAAGAGTACTCCCTGGTAGGACAGCCAATGGGGCTCTCTTGTGCTACCAAGACTAGATCGCAAACTGGGAATGTGATCTGCTCCCACCAGCCATTGAGATGGTAAAGGAGACTGCTCCTTGGGGATGGAGCAGGGGTAGGGCAGCTAACAGCAACTTACCGGGGAATCGCAGGGATACGGGTGCCATTTTCATCCACAAAGTGGCCCCCAGCATTGAGGACCCAGCAATGGTGCAGCGACATAAGGGCATGTCGGGCAGTGGTGGGGTTGTCTTTCCCATTCTGACTGTCTGCATTCTTCAGAGGAGAAAACTCATCTTCACGCAGCACTTCGTACACCACAAACTGCCTGGAGTGGGGATAAGGCAGGAATGGCTTGGTGTCAAAGAGAAGGGCTTTGCTACAGATTCCCTTTATTCTTGCTTGTCTGGAGTTGGAAGGAAGCCTCCCTGCTTCTCTCCATCCCAGAGACTTGCCAGCAACCAGCAGCAGATAATGCCAGTGGCCTCACAATTAGCTCCTCTGGGCTGAGATACTGCACCCACTCAGTCTGGTAAGTCCATAGCCACCTAGGCCTTACAGCCCTGAGCCTGTCTCCTGCTCTGAGCGTGGGGAGTAACACACATTTTTCTTGTTGCTGGAGGTGGCTTTTGTCAGTCCAGAGACCAATCTGCTCTGACAAGAGCTCCATGATTCAGGCTGTGCCCAACAGAGGGTGTGACCAAGATGGCTGGCAGTGCCTCAGAGGGAGTTAGAGAAGCTTCTCATCCCAATTCCAGGAGAATGGCCTACCTCAGAAAGAGTGTTTCTGGTCCCACTCCCCAACCTGAGGCAGGGAGTGACAGCAGCCCACAATGGGAGACCATGTGGGGGCCAGAGCAGGAAGCATAGAACTTCCCAACCCTGCCCTGCTGCTTCCTCACTTGGCTAAAGGGCAGTGCCAAGTGCACCAGACAGGTGACAGGGCAGCTGCCAGCCTGCAACGAGGCAAACGAACAAACCAGGGAACGAAGACTGGACAGAACTGGGCACCAAAACTGGCTCTTGCAGCTGGACCCAGAATCCTTATATGTACCAGCCAGAGTCACCACAGTTAGCCCTCCCCGACACTGCTGAGAGCCACATCATCTGCATGTGACAGCGCAGCTTCCTACACGGTTTGTAATGGAATCCAGAGTGTAACTCTGCACTGGGGAGGAGCCCTCTAACCAAGCCATGTTGTCCTTGTTGGGAGACCGCAGCCGCCAAGCCAGCCGGGTCCATGCTGGGTTATAGCATACCAACACAGTAATTGCCAGTAGCACCTAGCATGTCCTGCTGCTCCTTTGAGCAGCCCCGGGAAGAGGGTATTGCAGTATTCTACCACCTGAGTAACAAGCAGCAGCGACCAGGGCATACTTGGCAAACTGGAAGATGTCAAAGACGAACTTCTCCATCTTGATGCCATTCGGTTTGTCTGGCTTGACCAACTGCCCACTGGTGATGTCCACGTATGGAATCTTCTTCTGGGCCACATGGTGCTTCAGCTGAGGTTCATAAATGCTGGCAGGGCAAGAAAGAGGAATCAAAACCTCCTACAGTTAGAAAGCACGTTCTAGCCACCACTGTCCTCCAATCATTCTGGTCCAGGAGCAGCTGGGAGGGGGTGTATTGTCCTCCCAGCTGCCTCTTCTTTTGGTTGCCCAGCCACCTGCACTTTGCTTACCCTATGGCCAGAATACAAAAAACTAAACTCCCTACAACCTGCCCTCCTCCTGCTGTTGGTCCCCCATTTGATGCCCCCTGGATCAAACCATTCTGTCCCCATCTTCCCTAGTTTCTGGGAGTGTTGGCAGGCTCACAACCTCCTCTGCAGGTTGTGCAGCTGGAGTGGAGGAAGCCCAGGTACACCAGTGCTTTCACCTCCTGCTGAAAGACAGGAAAGCAGAGAAAATTGGTGGACAGAGCACAATGCTTATACTCCAGGCCCGGTGCTGTGCACATGATGTTCCTGAGGGATTTGTGGAGGGGAAGCAAGCTCATATACAGAGCCAGATCTTGGCCCTGGCCTCAATGCTTTGTTGGCTGCACATATGCATCCTAATGCCTGTTATTAACTTTGCTAGATAGTCTAGTTGGGTTTCAACCCTTGCTAATTGTGCTTTAGTTTCTAGAAGCAGTTTTTGTTTTGTTTCTTTATTTACCTGTCAGCGACCATCTCAGTCCACATATTCCCAGCCCCAGCAGCCACCTCCCAGCTGCCCCACATCCACAAAACAACATGCTCCATTTACATTAAGGAATGAAGCAATATTAACCAGTCCCAGTCTTGCCAGGGACAGAGAACATATAGGGGTGATGGAAAAGAGGATTTAGGGCATTGAGAGCAAGAGGAACTATTCTAAAGTGGTGAGACATCTGGAGAATACCAGTGTGACGCCCACTCCAAGGAGCGCCAACTTTCATTCTGATGACCATGTGAATACACATGCCAGAAGGCCACCTGAGGCTACAGTAATGGCAACAATGCCTACTGCAGCTGGTCCCTAATCAGTCATGACAGCTAGGGCTGCTGCCAGTGGTGCAATACAGTCAGGGCAGGTAGGGACTGTGAGCCTGGGGGACAGGTGTTACAATTCATTCCAGACATAATGGGAGAGCGCTCATCATGTCCAGACTCTCAGCTGTAGGGTGACCAGACAGCAAGTATGAAAAATCGGGGTGGGGGAAATAGGAGCCTATATAAGAAAAAGACCCCAAAATCAGGACATCTGGTCACTCTACTCAGCCGTACTGTCTGCAAAGGTGTAAGCGGCTCTTGTTCCCAGGTGGCAGGGGGTCCCAACCTCAGTGAAGCAGGAATCTAGTGAAGACAGAGGTAGTTTGCCATTTTACCCATGCCACTTCAGGGTGGGGGTTTGGATTGCTGGTTCTGACAGCTGGCTCTATAGTGAGAGCAACACCAGCATGGTACTTTACCTAACTTGCACATTGAGGTTGATTTCTACTTCCTGAGGGGAGCCACAAAGTTCAGAGAACAGCCTCATTCTGATCAGAGATGTTAGTCTCCTGCCTTCCACCATTAGCTTGGACTTTACTGCACATGGTGAGCATGAACACAGCCACTGGGCTGCTGCTGAGGGAAGGTGGTTGTGAAGAAAGGGGCTAGGAGGAGAAATACTAGTGCCAGAAGGAGACACTCAGGCTCCACCCCTTATCCTACTCTGCTTTGGGAAAGCTACAACCCCTGTAGTGTTTAACAGAAAGTGAGATGGGGCCCAAGAGCTTTTGCCTGATTGCAACAGGACTAGGCTAGATTTCCAAGTCCTAGCTCTTCTCTTTGGCACTGCATTAATACACAGCCCGTGGCCCCAGCTTGCCCGTACTTGACAACATCTCTCAGAAAGGACACTGTGAGGTAGTGATTGGCAATGTTGCCTGCGTTGAACAGCAGCCGGCCATCGGAGCTACGTTTCTGTGCTGTGGCCAGGGAGATCTCGCTATACTCCACCACCTGGTACATGCCATCCACTCTGCATACCACGCCCACTGGCTCCATGGGGTTTGTCTTCTCAACCACCTGCCCAGAGAACACACAGGAGAACTCAGATGAAAGGGCATTTGTCCAGGAAGTCCCTGTAAGTGAAGTGGGTTACCACAGCCAGTGCAGAAAGGGGCATGAGTGGGAGCCCCTCGCTCATGGGCTCGCAACTTTTACACTGCCATTTTAGGTGATGCTTTTGTCCTTGGAAAGAAAAAAAAGAAGGATAAATCAACCCTCTTTGTTCCAATCTGTTCTACAGCTCTGCACCCTCCACCCAAGCCCTGTCCCCTGCATGTGCTTCCCTGGCACCTGCCCCTCTCCCTCACAGGCTACCCAGTCCTCTGCTTCCTTCTCCCAGAAACATTGTCTGCCAGGAAAGGACTTCACTCCCATAGACAGTTCCTCTCCTGTGGCCAAAAGAACGAGGAGTCCTTGTGGCACCTTAGACTAACATTTATTTGAGCATAAGCTTTCGTGGGCTAAAACCCACTTCATCAGATGCATGCAGTGGAAAATACAATAGGAAGATAGATACACACACACACTGAAAAAATGGGTGTTGCCATACACACTACAACGAGAGCGATCAATTAACTGATTCGTTCACTCATTGTACTGTGTATGGCAACACCTATTTTTTTCCATGTTCTCTGTGTGTGTATACACACCCCCCTCTTCCTACTGTATTTTCCACTGCATGCATCCGATGAAGTGGGTTTTAGCCCACAAAAGCTTATGCTCAAATAAAATGTTAGTCTAAGGTGCCACAAGGACTCCGTTCTTTTTGCTGATACAGACTAACATGGCTACCACTCTGAAACTGGCAGCGTCTGGTGCACCAGGGGAAGGACAGAATACTGCTGTCTCCCTCCTGCTAAGGGCACTGGCTCTGCAGTTGGTAGGACACTCCATGCTCACCAGTGCCTGTGGAGAATCGGAGGACATGGAGCTGGGGAGAGAAAACAGAGCAGTGAGTGGTCTGCCCTTTGGGCAGCATTGCACAGGAGCTGAATGAGACTGTCTAGCCACACTGAAACAGGCCTTGCACACAAGGGTCATCAGGGGAGGCAGCAGGTCTCTGACTGCCCTCTGTGGCAGGCTGGCTGCTCACCTTGGTGCTGAACAAGAGAGTCTGGGCCAGCTATTGGAATTTGAAAAATTCCGCTGCCTTGGGCTTTCTGAAAACCTGGCCCTGGCTGCGGACGCTGAGCTTCCCTAGACCTGGCTTGTGGTGCTAGCTCCCCTTTGTGTTCTTCCTCAAAAGAGGCTGGATGCATACAAAAGTGGTTCCCTGGGGATGGAAGCAGGCATGTCCTGAAGGCTCTTCCACGGAGATCTTTAGTTAGAGATGGATACGGTGAGTCACGGCAGACATGGTTTTAAATCCCCAGAGTATCTGGTGTTCAGCAGTGGTGGGTGGTGCATGGGAAGCTCTGTGTGGCACTAGAGAAGAGTCTTATAGGACACCCAGCTTTACCCTATCTCCAGGGCACTCCCCACTCAGAACTACAAAGTACCAGCTCCCTCCTTGGGCGAGTCTCCTCGCCTGCATGGAATCTGAAGGCCATTCTGGTGCAAACCGAGATATCAAATCACAAGTGCTTTGGGGGATCATGAGGGCTAGCACTGCTGCTGGTGGGGGGAGGAGCTCCTCTTGCACCCCAGGTATATTCTGTACCTAGCAAAAACAACTGCACTAGTTACATGGAGCTGCAATCCCTGTAGGTGCCTGCAGACATATGATGTCTGGACACTGAAGTACAACGGAATGCCAGTAATGACTGCACTACATAACAGGAGAAAGGGCTTTGACTTAATACCACTAACTCAGTGCCTTTCATGCAGGAATCACTAATGTTAAATCTCACCACATCCTGGTGAGGAAAGTCATTTTTACAGGTGCATAAGCTGAGAAATAGATGTGAAGAGACTAGGCCAAAGTCACACAACAAGGGTTTGTTTACAGAATTTGCTCCAATTGACATTAGTTTAGTTAAACTGGTGCAACTTGTGCATTCACACTCCTATTGTTTAAAATTAGTTAATCTGCAAGCTAACCTATATAATGGGTTATGACTCCAAGCTAAACTTAAACCAGATTTAAAGCAGATGCAAGAATGTCTACACACAAAGTTGCAGTGGTTAAATTAAGCAGGTATAAAAATCACACATTTCCTTACAACTTTGGGTGTAGTTCTAACTCCATGGCAGAACTGGGAATAGAAACCAGGAATTGCAATTGCAGGTCCCCATCTATGCACAAGACCATGCCTCCCTACCATTCTACAATAGGAGCTTGTTGTTGAATAAACACACGTATGACAGGTATACACTCCCATTAGAATATGGATGAGATGTTCAAGTGGCTGATAAAAGGCCAAGCCAGTTAGGAGTTGTCTTTTACTTGAACCAAGCTTCACTGAGACATGGGCCAGAATCAAATGACCTCAGCCAGCCAAGCAGCAGGCGGACACCCCCTCCAACAAAACAGTATGCAGCACTGTTTAGAAAAATCAGAACTCTGTAGAGGTTCACATATCCCACAGAGATAGCATATGGTACCAGGCAGCACTAGAATGTATCAGGTATTGTATTTTGTCCAGGCTTCCATTATAACCTATTATTTTCAAATGTCCATCACCTCCTGAAATATTTGCTTTTGGATGAAGTTTCCCTTGCCTGATCTCAGCCCAAACAGTGGAGTTTGAGCACAATTTCTTCCTCCTTTCAGTTTGGAAAAAAATGAGAAAAAAAACTACGACTGTGGTCAACCTTTGCAGACTGATACCTTTCCATCAGCTACTTCTCACACAGTGAGTCTCCAGCCTCACTTGCCAAACACAGTCCAATTGAAAACTGCACTGTTCAAAACCAGATGCCCAACTCTTATCCCCTGTACAGCTATGGAGTTTGTGCCGTTATTTCAGAGAGATCCCATTTTTGCACATACTTTCAACCACGCAACTGTGAAAATACCTAGAACAGGCCACAAAGGCAGCTTAACATTAAATATGGCAAAAGCAATTATGGCAAAAGCTTTTCTGCACAATAGGAACTGAAATACAAGCATCTGCTCTTCTGTAAAGCCTGAAATTGATGCTTAATGTACTTTATGATACTGACATTTATAAAATTGAATTTTTGAGATCACCTCAGAAGATGTAAAAAAGCAGCACCCTTTAATTCATTGAAATTTGAGAGCTCATTGATCAAGCATTTATTTAAATGGTTTTAATAGATCATAGTAGGGACTCAGACTGTCAATTTCAAGTTTAATTGTATACAAGTATGGATAATTTGGATTACTCAATGATTGCCTGTTCTGTTCATTCCCCCAGAAGCACTAGCCCCCGTCAGAAGATGGGATACTGGGCTAAATGGACCACTGGTCTGACCCAGTATGGCTGTTCTTATAGGTTTGTTTTTAATCATTTTAACCTAAGTCTGATTTTTCGCAGGTTGGCACTAACTGTGGTCCTCATTTTCTAGGAATTTGACTTGAGACCGTGGGGTCTGATTTGCAGAGTGCCAAGCACTCACAGTTGCAAATGAGGTCAATGGGAGCTATGCTTTCAACATGTAAAATGTTAAAGTTCTAAGCACTCTGAACAAAGATCAGGTCCTAGGCTCCCCAAATTGGGAGCTGAAAGTTAGCCGACACTTGGCTTTAATCTGTGTTTTTGGTTCCCCAGCTGTAAAATGGGGACATCACCCACTCATCTCACAGGGGTGGGACACCACATTCAGTAATGTCTGCACAAAAGAGCCCATGAAAAACTTATTCTGAATTGGCAGGATTTGGACGGCGAACAGTAAACGCATGGGCTATGCACTGAATGAGGACAAAATCCTCAATACCCATTCAGTGCGCATCATCAATCCTGTGCGCTGAATGAGGTGGGGTGCTGTGGTAGTACTATGTGATCAAGTAATTAACAGCTGTACTACATACACAAGAGGACTGAATTAAGGGTGCACAGGCATCTCCTAATTTGAGTGATTAATTTGCAGCCCTAATATGTTTAATGTAGTTCTACACAAACAGAGGAAGTGCCATGCAGATGGCCAGTCCACTAAGGAGCGGATGCCTGAAATAGCAACAGCCGCCTACTCTACTCCCCGCTCAACGGAGAGCTCAAATAGCTCAGCCATCCAAAAGAACCAACTGGAAACAGGAACACTGAAGCAGGGGCAGGATCGGGGCAGCTCAGGGAGCCAATACTGCTCCCCTGGGGCTGAATCAGGCTCCAGAACCTAAACTTTACATTAGAGTTCGATATCTAGCACTTGAGAAAAGCTTTATAAACCACGTATAAACAAACAGACATTGCCGCCTGCCTGGGTGCACGGATTTTCTGAAACATAGCTCAAGAGGACTATCCATGCCTCTTAACCACAAGGCCATGCTGAAACTGAAGTCTAGGGATTATAATTTAAACAAACTGTCAGCTATTCATCTGGCCATCAAGTTATGTGAGAATAGAGAGGTACTGTCCTATTACGGAAATGTGCAGTCTCCTGCCAGTGGCATCACATGGTGCCATGCACAGAGCTTGGAGCATACCACATCCAATCCCCGATTACAGGGGCTAACATGGTTGCAGCCTGAAAAAAATGCACCACACAACATTCATTGTAGTGAGCTCAGTACCAACCCCCTCTCAGATCTAGAGCGCCCATGCAGACAGAGGGACCAGAAGAGCCTGGACACAGCCTTGGCGGGGAGCAAGCTGCTGGTGCCAGCCAATGCTGCGATTAGGACAATTGTGCCAGTGCACTTAAGGGTGTACGAGCCAGGTCCTCTACCCTCTCCACCCCACGGCAGCCCCATTACCTTTGCCCCACACTCAGCTCCCTTCTGCGTGCAGAACCCAATGAACCTGGGGTCAGCCACCTTCACTAAGATGTTGTCAACGCAGTACATATGGATGCTCCAGATGCCTCGCTGCTCCATGTCCTCCACGATGCCATGGGCGCCAAGGGCTCGGTACAGCCCCCCATTGCCATCTGGTGAGGCGAGAACACGTTACTGCACCAGAAGCAAACAGCAGGAGTGAGTATTTGAGCCAGCTCCCAGCTGGATGCCACACAGGGAGTAGCACTTCCTAGAGATTGAGGGAAGCTGCCAGGGGAACAGACTAGACTCTGGTAAGAGGGGCCAAGGTGGGACTTTGGCCTCCTGTGAGCCCACCCCTAGCCCAAATATCCTCTCCCCTGGTCTGCCACCTTGCTGTGTCCATTTCCCTGATGCCCTGTTCCAGGCCCAGCCTGAAAGATGGGATGGGACTGTGACCCTGCAGCAGAGGCTGGGACAAGAAGAAGCCAGCACACAGCCCTGAGTGGCCAGCACCAGTCTTTGCCTGCTCTGTGGAGGAGGAGGAGGAACAGTCCTAGCAGGAGCAGTGTATGCAGGGAATTAGAAGGAGAAGGAACTACATAAGACAGAGGTGTCTATGGGGAAGGGGCTGTGGCAAGGTATGCAGGATGGAATTTTGAGGATCCTAGGGATCATTCCAACACTGAGATGCCAAGTCAGGGCAAGGACTTGCCTCAGCTTAATAAAAATGCCACTGGGCTGCAGGGCACCAATGGCAGGAAGGATTGGACTAACAGTGGCTTTTGTTCCTATAGGACTAGGAGATACTGAGCCCCTCATCACTACTAAAGCCCTGCAAAGCCTCTCCCCCCCACCCCTGCCTCATTCACTAATGGGCTAAGCAGTCTCTTTGGCATCTCAGTGCTAACTCCATCACCAAGATGACGGATGAGTGATAGGCCACAAGCCGCTCTGTGCAAATTCACCCCCCTCCATCCCAGAGGGAAAACAGGAACCCAGCTGCGCTATAGCGGAGCAAACTACTACCCCTAGATAACTCGGTAGAATACCAAGAGGGTCACTCCCCAGTTTGCAGGCAAGATGCCTGGCTTTGTTAAACCCATATTTGTCTAAAGGAAAGGGACAGGCAGGCACTTATTGTTGTGATATAGATGTTTAAGGACACTAAGCCTGCAAGCTGCTTTCTGAAAGGCGAGGTCTGCCAGATATGAGGATAACTTGCGATTCTCTGCCATTTCCTAGAATCAACTTTTGCACAAGTCACCCCCAGAAGTCCCTAAAGTACGTTTTATTCCACTTATGTATTTTCTGTCCCTCAAATCTAACCTGGGAGATGTTCTGGAGTGAGGGAAGGGGTGTCCCTAGGCTGCAGTCTAACAAGCTCTTTCCCTCCCACTCAAAGCCTCTTCAGTCCAGCCATTTCTGCGACTCCCCTCTGCTCAAGATTAACCAGAGCAATACTGGAAATCCATGGGAAATTGGGGGAATGTTGCTGGATTTGGCACAGACCATGAAACGTTTTGTAAATTCTACAGGATTCCAAACAAAGCAATTCTGAATCTAAAAAACACCTGTGAGCTGCTGGCTACATGTGTCTGATGGAATTAGAATAAACTTTCAACCCACCGTGGTTTACCCCACCTCCTCAAGGCTTCTTATCCCCATCACCCTCCAGATCTTACATTTGAGACCTTCCAGTCTGAACGATCTCGATGCCCTGTTCAAAGCCTTGCTGAATCCGGTCTGCTAGAGAAGTTCATTCCCTTAAACCCCCACTAATGGGATTTCAACAGCACAGACCTGGTGCCATGGAAACTTTGCTCTTCTCTTCCAGAAAAATCTTGCCATCAAACCCCATGGCAGGCAGCATCCCTTGCTGGAAAAAGATCACATTTTCCTGCTTTAAACCAAAGTAATTGTGCTTCATGAAGAACTCCTTTGTAGATTCCATTGTTCTGCCACTTGTCATGATGTACCTGCCACAGCAAGAAGAGAAAAACCCCAAGTAAATAGGGAGGCAGACTCTGCTCCTGCCTGATCTTCACACAGGATTGTTTTTGAAGCCCATGTAGAGCACTCATGGGATAGAGAACAGGACCCCCTGGGATCAGGATGTATCACAGAACAGCTCTCACTCACTTGCGAATCACATGAACATTTCACCTCTGACCAATGAGCTCTCTGCAGCCATAGGTTTGGCAGCAATTGTCTGAGTGGCCATGTCAGGGTCCTAGGGAGCCCTGAGGATGGTGCTGGTGGTCTCCATGAGCTGGGTAGAGCTCGTGGTTAGAACACATGCAGGGGGAAGCTGGATCTGCTGTGGTATGATCTACTGGCACTAGGGAGGATGAGGGCTAGCTGCACCAAGCCAGTGAGGAACCTCAGCACAGGCCTTGAGCAACACTTCCACTGACCGTAATGGACTCTGGGACTCGCCAGCAGCAAAGCCTAATGTCTCAGGAGGGGCACTGATGCGGACACCAGGAGGAAGGATCCTTGCAAGGGTAAGAACAATACTCTTCTGATGGAAGGAAGGCTGGTGCTGCCTCCCCACTCTTCCTGGGGTCAGAGGAATCAGCTGTCTTGATCTTCCTTGAAAGGCCCATCCCCCACTGGCCATGTAATTCCATGACACCAAGGAGGAGTGTAGGGGACCTAGGGACACCAGCCTGCTCCTCTCCTTGGTGTTGGGCTTATCAATACACTTCCTCAGCCAAGCCCACACAGTTTGATACAAAGGTTTCTAACATGCTCCTTTGTGAACCTCCTTGAGCAGGGTTGGACAACGCTTTGCTGGGTAATTTGGCTGGAGGACTCTTTGTCAGCAAGCATCTGGCACTGCTGACTTACCGGCCCTTGAGCCTCCTCCAGCAGCAATGAGGCGTCTCCTGACCTTTTGGGGTTCTGCTTGAATCGGCAGCACAGAGAACTAGAGGGATTATGGCTCAGGTTCTAGAAACACTAGCAATGGCTACCACGAATATGGTAAATCAGTGCTTGATGCTGGCCTCCCTGTATGCCCCAGCCAGGATACCAGAGTGTCAGACCCCAAGCAGAGACCAACTGTACAGGATGGGAGACTATCCCAGAGGGATGAGGATGCACAAGCAGCTTAAAAAGGCAAGGCCACAGTAGTGCCTGCAACCAGTGATTAGAAAAACCACTTTCAGAGAAGACTGAACTAACAAGAGGGAGCTAAACTAGATCAGTTCATCCTGTTACTTCCCTGGTCAAAGAGCAGCCACTTCAGAATGAAGGGCAACTGGTGCGATCCCCCTTTACACCCTTCAGTCCCAGCAGAAATGGTGGAAATGCACTGTAGACCCATACACACTGCTCATTGGAAGTTTCTGAACCCCCCTGGGCACGGACACTTTTAGAACATAAGAACGGCCCTACTGGGTCAGACCAAAGGTCTATCTAGCCCAGTATCCGGTCTTCCAACAGTGGCCAGTGCCAAGTGCCCCAGAGGGAATGAACAGAACAGGTAATCACAAAGTGAGTCATCCCATCGCTCATTCCCAGCTTCTGACAGACAGAGGGTAGGGACACCATCCCTGCCCATCCTGGCTAATAGCCACTGATGGACCTATCCTCCATTTATTTATCTAGTTCTTTTTTGAACCCTGTTATGGTCTTGGACATCGCAACATCCTCTGGCAAGGAGTTCCACAGGTTGACTGAACTGTGTGAAGAAATACTTCCTTTGATTTGTTTTAAACCTGCTGTCTATTAATTTCATTTGGTGACCCCTAGTTCTTGTGTTATGAGAAGTGGTAAACACTTCCTTATCTAGTTTCTCTACACTGTCATGATTTTATAGACCTCAATCATATCTCCCCTTAGCCGTCTCTTTTCCAAGCTGAAAAGTCCCTGTCTTGTTAATCTCTGCATACAGAAGCCATTCGATACCCCTAATCATTTTTGTTGCCCTTTTCTGAACCTTTTCCAATTCCAATATCTTTTTTGAGATGGGGCGACCACAACAGCACACAGTATTCAAGATGTGGGCATACCATGGATTTATATAGAGGCAATATGATATTTTCTGTCCTATTGTCTATCCCTTTCCTAATTATTCTCAGCATTCTGTTTGCTTTTTTGACAGCCGCTGAATACTCAGTGGATGTTTTCAGAGAACTATCCACGACTCCAAGATCTCTTTTTTGAGTGGTAGCAGCTAATTTAGACCCACCCCATCCTCCATCATTTTATATGCATAGTTGGGATTATGCTTTCCAATGTGCATTACTTTGCATTTATAAACATTAAATTCATCTGCCATTTTGTTGCCCAGTCACCCAGTTTTGAGAGATCCTTTTGTAGCTCTTTGCAGTCTGCCTGGGTCTTAACGATCTTTAGCAATTTGGCCACCTCACTGTTTACCCCTTTTTCCAGATCATTTATGAATATGTTGAACAGGACTGGCCCCAGAACAGACCCCTGGGGGACACCACTATTTACCTCTCTCCATTCTGAAAACTGACCATTTATACCTACCCTTTGTTTCATATCTTTTAAACTAGTTACCAATCCATGAGAGCACCTTCCCTCTTGTCCCGTGGCAACTTATTATGCTTAAGAGCCTTTGGTGAGGGACTTTGTCAAAGGCTTTCTGCAAACCTAAGTACACTATATCCACTGGATCCCCTTGATCGCTGACCCCCTCAGAGAATTCTAGTATATTGGTGAGGCATGATTTCCCTTTACTAAAACTATGTTGACGCTTCCTCAACAAATTATGTTCATCTAGAAATCTGACAATATTGTTCTTTTAAAGTGTCAACCAGTTTGCCCGGTACTGAAGTCAGGCTTACAGGTCTGTAATTGCTGGGATCACCTCTGGGGCCATTTTTAAAAGTTGGCATCACATTAGCTATCCTCCAGTCATCTGGTACAGAAGCTGATTTAAATGATATCTTACAGACTACGGTCAGTAGTTCTGAAGGAACTCAAATGTGAAATTGCAGAACTCTTGAGAGAATACCATCTGGTCCTGGTGACTTATTGATGTTTAATGTATCAATTTGTTCCAAAACCTCCATGAATGATACCACAATCTGGGACAGTTCCTCAGATCTGTCACCTAAAAAGAATGGCTCAGGTTTGGGAAATCTCCCTCACATCCTCAGCCGTGAAGACCAATGCAAAGAATTAATTTAGTTTCTCTGCATTGGCCTTATCCTTGACTGCTCCTTTAGCACCTCGATGGCTATTATTTTTTTGAGTCTTTGGCTAACTGTTCCTCAAATTATTTTTTGGCCTTCTAATTGTATTTGTACACTTTGTTTGCCAGTGTTTATGCTCCTTTCTATTTTCCTCACTAGGATTTAACTTCCACTTTTTAAAGGATGCCTTTTTGCCTCTCACTGCTTCTTCTACTTTGTTGTTGAGCCACAGTAGCTCTTTTTTGGTTCTCTTACTATGTTTTTTAATTTCGGGTATACATTTGAGCCTCTATTATGGGGTCTTTAAAAAGTTTCCACGCAGCTCACAGAGATTTCACTTTTGGCACTATACCCTTTAATTTCTGTTTAATCTTCTCATTTTTGTGTAGTGCCCCTTTCTGAAATTAAATGCTACAGGGTTGGGCCGCTGTGGTGTTTTTCCTGCCACAGAGATATTAAATGTAATTATATTAGGGTCACTATTACCAAGAAGTCCAGCTACATTCACCTCCTGGACCAGATCCTGTGCTTCACTTAGGACTAAAACAAGAATTTCCTCTCCTCTGGTAGGTTCCAGGACCAGCTGCTCCAAGAAGCAGTCATTTAAGGTGTCTAGAAACTTTCTCTCTGCATGCCGTCCTCAGATGACATGTACCCACTCAATATGGGGATAATTAATAATGGGGGATTTCAGTTATTATTGAGTTTTTTTAGGTTAATAGCCTCTCTAATCTGCCTGAGCATTTCAGTCACTATCACCATCCTGGTCAGGTGGTTGGTAATATAGCCCTTCCACTATATTGCCAGGAGGAAGGGGAGCTGGGGGGGGTACAGCAGCTGCTACTCTCCGGCCACCAAGCTCCAAAGGCAGTGCAGCCACCAGCAGCAACACAGAAGTAAGGGTGGCAATACCATGAGTATGCTCCTGTGAGCATCTACAGTAATTTGCTATCACTTCGGGGGGGGGGGGAGAAGAGGTCGGGTCATCACAGCCTGAAATATTGAAACCAGTTTTAAATGATACCTTACAATGCATACTTTGTAGATTGCAAACAAAGGTGTATATTCCATCTACACTGGAATGAGATACCCATGGCTGGCCCATGCCAGCTGACTCAGGTTCATAGGGCTCAGGCTGTGGGACCATTTAATCACAACGTAGATGTTCTGGTTTGCGTTGCAGCCCAAGCTCTGGGACCGTCCCATCTTGCAGGCCCGACAGCATGAGCCAGCCACAGGTTTTTAATTGCAGTGTAGACATACTCACATACCTCCTGAACTCAGACACCGGACATATGATTTGGAGAGCAGCTCTTTGACAAGGCTCATCATCCCCACCCATGAGAGTGATGGCCCAGAAAGGTCACAGTCCACATCTTTCTTGAGCAAGGCTGGAAGGACCAAGCTTAAAGACCAAGGCAGAAGAGAAACAATGGCAGACACCCATCTCCCCCACCCAGAGGGGAGTGGACTGAGGCCTAGGTCTACACATAAAAATTAGATTGATCTAGCTACCACATTCAGGACTATGACGACAGTTTCTCACCCTGAGCACAATGGTTAGGTCGATCTAGCTACTGCCTCTCAGAGGTGGATTTAGCTACATTGACATAGGAAGTGTCTACACTATAACACTACAGTGGCACAGCTGTGTCGCTGTAGCACAGATATACCCTTAGAAGAAGGCTTATGATGGAAGTCTGATTGCAACCTTAACTATGGCATTACAATTCATAACTCAACACTTTGCCTGTGTATAGGGTCTTTCAGTCTCCACTGCCTTGCAGAACAACTTAGATGGGCAGACTCTGACCACAGCTACATTAAGGCAATTCACTGACATGACTGCCTCGATGCTGTATCACCAGTGCAAACCTCTAAAGCAGACATTGCACCAGTGCAGCTTAACCTGGCAATTTAATGAGAGCACAGCCTCAGCATAGGCTACTCTCTGCATGGGCACACCATGTCTTCATTAGGGCTTTGTGCTGGTGTATACCATTATACAGGTTAGACAAACACCTGTCAGGAATGATCTAGATCAGTCATTGCCAACCTTTTTAAGCACATAATCACTTTTTGAATTAAAGTGCAACCCAGGATCTACCCTGCCCTTTCCCCAAGGCCCCACCTCACTCCCTCCACCCCCCACTGCTTGCTCTCCCCCACCCTCACTCACTTTCACCAGGCTGGGGTAGAAGGTTGGAGTACAGGCTCCAGGCTGGGGCCAAGGGGTTCGGAGTGTGGGAGGGGCCTCAGAGGGGGCTCAGGCAGGGGATGAGATGCAGGAGAGGGTTTGGGGTGCTGGCTCCAGGAAGGGCTCAGGGCTGGGGCAGGGGTGTGTGGGCTCACGCCAGGCAGCGCTTACCTCAGGCGGCAGCGCAGTAGAGCTAAGATAGGCTCCCTGCCTGCCCAGGCCCCCACTACTCCTGGAAGCTGCCAGCACATCCCGGGGGGGTGGGGAGTGAACGTGGCTCTGCGTGCTGCCCCTCCCTGCAGGCACCACCACCACAGCTCCCATTGGTCGCAGTTCCCTATTCCTGGCCAATAGGAGCTGCAGGGGCAGGGAGGCGCAGCGCCCAGAGACCCCCTTTCCCTTCACCTCCCCATCCCCCAAACGCAGGGACATGCCAGCTGCTTCCAGGAGTGGCGCTCGGCCAGTGCAAGCAGGGAGCCTGCCTCAGCCCTGTCAAACTTTTAGCAGCTGGAGACTGCAGTTGACTCGCAGAGGCTCTGTGATCGACCAGTCGATCACAATCTACCGGTTGGTGACCACTGGTCTAGGTAATACTTAGTCCTGCCATGAGTGCAGGGGACTGGACTAGATCACCTCTTGAGGTCCTTTCCAGTCCTATGATTCTATACCACTGCTGACTGTCTTCATGTAGGAAAGGCCAAGGCAAAGATTAGTTACCACGCCCAAGTTTACACAAAGGAAATAGAGCCAGGACCAGAATCTAGAACTCTCCCCCAGCCCCCTGCTGCAGACAAACCAGATTACTATCAGGATGGACTGACAATGCACACCCCTTACCATGGAATGACACACTTAGTGCCATGCTGTTTTTCAGCCAGCTGCTGCAGTTTCAGGATGCGCTCTGCTTGGATCTGGAAGAGTGTTTTGTGGGATGGCAACCCGACATCGTACATTCCCTTGGGATAAGAAACACCCAGTCTCGTTCCCTGTCCACCAGCTAGGAGGAGGACAGCTACTTTGCTCTGAGAAATCTGATGGAGACCTAAAGAAAGAAAGAAAAAAAGAATGACCAGAAGCTTTCCCCTTGCAGAGTGGAAGCCATGTGATGCCTTCCAGTTTATGAACAATATCGTTGGAACCATAATCCTCCAACACCCAAGCTGGCTGGCTCTGGGGAGGAAGGCAGCACAGCCAATCCCAGTTAAACAAAGGCTCTCTGGTTACTGGCAGGGGGACAGGATGGTCTGAGAGAACATGTGTACTGCTCTGACTGGCTCAGTCACAGCAAAGGAGCTCTGTCTGAAGGAGACAAGAATGATCTGCAGAGCGGCCCCAACAGGGCTAAACTAAGTTCTGGGTATGCTTGTGGTGTTTACACCCCACCCTTCTTGAAAAACACCCAGCTCCTGTCTGCCAGGATCACACCACTCCACCCAGGAGTGGCATTGCAGAGGGGCAGAGAGATTATCCTTTGGGGTACAGAAGCTCAGCTGGCAGTTTCATGTAGTAAATGTGCTGGAGGGATCTTCAAATCATCCTATTGCAGGAGTGTAATCCAGGCTCAGCCAAGTCTCTTTAGATTTCTATTTACCCCCAAATCATTGGGATCCACAGTGCTGGGCTTCACAGGACCAGGAAAACAGTTGTCCTCAACTCCCAGGTTTTACAGAGATCACAAGGACAGCCTAGACCAGTGACACATGTGGCTCACTAGCCTCACTCGAGTGTCTCCTGCAGATCTCAGGATTTTAACATGTGCTGCAGATTTAGTTAGCCACTGAGGATGCTTTTACTATGTTATAAGCCAACTGTAGCTAATAAAATACATGGTCAGTCATTTTGCTGTGAGACTATATATAGATATATAAAAAGCAAATATTCTTCATACTGTTTAGTGTGTATTCATTGTTTCATTAACTATAGTACTATATACTCATTTATTGTGGCTCTTTTGAGTAATGCTGATCACTAATTTGGCTCCTGAACCACTGATGTCAGAGTATCACTAGCACAGACTAACCACATCATAAGGAGTGGCAAGAGGTGGCCAACCCAGCATGTGTTCAAAGTACTATACAAACATTAACTGTAACACTCAAACCCCTTGTGAGGTACGTGGCTTTATCTTCATTTGGGATTTGCCCAAGGACAGAAAGTAGGGAGGGGAGTAGAGTCAAGATCAGAATTCCCAGACTCAGATTTCTGGCCCAGACCTTAATCCCCTAGACAATGGTGCCTCATCTAAGGTAACTTGCCAGACTGCATGCAACATGGATAAGGAACCTGTGCATTCCTATTGCCCAACCTGCATTTCAGTTATGCACCCTTCTTGTTGCACCAGTGTAGATTTTTGTATTTAATGACACCCCACGCCCCCAAATACTGTATTAGTTACAGAATTGAGTAGGTAAATTAAAATAATCAAGGTTGCACAGTTAACATGGAATTTTCCTATTTGAAGGTTTAGAAAGGAATTCAACAAACAAAAGGAAGACAGAAAGAAGGGAAAGAGTACATGTGTGTTGCATTAGAGAGAAGCATGGCCTAAACATATGAATGAATGGGAGCCACGAATGCTGGCATTCTAATCCCAGTTCCGCCAGCAGCTTGGGTAAATCTGTACCTCATTTATTCCCCCCTCCATTCCCATATCCCAGTACACATCCTCATCTCACAAGAGTTGGTATAACTGCTGTTTTGTAGCTGCATAGTGAAAGATACTCAGCATTTAGAGTATTACAAGAATGTCAAGAATTAGGAGTGCTAGGTTGTATGTGGGGCCAAGATATGAAGCAGTTATTCACAGGGGGTTTGTATATGCTAGATGTTGCACAGCTGGACAGTTCTATCAGAATAGCTTCAGCAACAGAATGTGCTCAGTTGTATAGCATACATGTGTGGCTCCACTCCCAAGTCTGATCATTCAAGACAGTTCTTAACTCGTGCACAGAAGTTCAGATCTCCAAGCAATGTCCAAACAGGTGATGTGACAGCCCAAAGAAGAGAATTTAAAGTTACAAATAACTGGAAATTTTGGGATTTATATAGTACTGTTATGAATAGTCTTTAAGTCTAAATTTTTTTTTGACTATGGGAGCCTAAATAGGTGCTTATGGCAGACTAGTTCAACAGGATTTGTGGTGCAGGGTTCATCTTCAATAGGAGTTTCAATCTTCAGCACTTCATAAAATGTAAGCAATTAATTAGGTGCGCACCCCACGCACGAAGACATTGGCCCTTGCCTCTTTAGCTGTGCCACAATGTAATTGAAGAGTTTGGGTTTCACCTCATGTCACGAGCCTCCAAACAATGGTAAAAGTAAATTCAAATACATTTCAATTTAGAAAACTGCAACCATTTTTTCAAACCAACAGAGACTGTTCTTCATGTAGTATACCCATTGGCTAAGCATGTTGTGATGTCTGCACCTGGATTTTCTATCTGCAAAAATGTTTGTCTCCCTCTTCGCAAACAAAGTGGTTGGACCAATTCACAGAAGTTAATTTTCCAAGAAAACTTTGGTTTCAGTCAAGTTAAATTTCAGCAAAAAAGGGGAAAAAAAGCTTTTGCAAGAGTAAAAGCATTCAAATAAGGCAAAGCTGAACCGAACCAGTCAATTTTATGCAGCTAAGTTGTGCTCTTTTCAAACTGTGCCTACATTTACAGGACAGCTACCTAGAATAGTGCACAATAAAGAATCCACAATGGCATTTTCAAACCAATTTCCAGATATTTTCAGACTAGTAGCTCTCACTGAGGAGCATCCATTTAAATTTCAGAGTTGTGTGTGTGACTTTTTTGTATATGATTAGTGTCCAGATTCTCCTGCCTTCCTGATGGAAAAGTAGGTCACCCTCTTGATACAGCTACCCCAAACCCCAGTTTGGCCCAGAAGAGTTTAGAAAGTTGCAAGTTTCTACAGACAGGCATTTATAATGAAAAGCATTTTGCAACATTAGAGCTTTCTCCATCAGCAAAAGCGGTATGGCTGTTTTTCCTGATAGCCTTTATAGCAAACAGCTGAGAGTTTACAATGAGCCTCCAAAGGTCAAATGCTTCCTGGATAACTTCCTGCTTGGACTCATGCCTTAAACTTGTTTTAAAACATCTGTTAAGGAATGGAACAAAGGGTGCTGCACATATCGAGGTGCACATGCATAGTAACTAGCATGTCAATGAAAATTTAGTAGTCTGTTCAGTTATTCTCTCCCAACTTTACCCAGCCACACCATAGTGTCATATTGAGAGAGCAAATAAAACAAGTAGGGCCAAAGTGTCCCCCATACTCTTTGGACACTAGTTGTGTTTAAGATACATTAATGCCAACTCTTATGGCACATTCCATCAGTCAATCTGAAAATGTGTTGCAAAGGTGGCCAGTATCATGGTCCTCCTGCTACAGATGGGGATATGGAGGCACAAAGAGGGAAAAAAATCAATTCACCCAGATCACCCAGCAACAGAGCTGGGACCAACACTCCGCTCCCTCAAGTCTCAGGGAAATGCTCTACCCACTACATTTAAGTGTAAGCTTTATTGTTCTATTACTGTCTTATAGCAGCTACAAGACTCATTTCACAATCACTCCTGCTGTCTCTTTATCTAATCTATCATGCCAATTCTAGCCTTACTAGGGAGGTCTACTTTCTGATATGCAGCGTTAATGCTGCATTTTCACACATAGGTGCAGTATTTGAAGGCAGCAGATCTTAGTAACACTCAAGTATCAGGGGTAGCAATGTTAGTCTGTATCCACAAAAACAAGGAGTCTGGTGGCACCTTAAAGGCTAACAGATTTATATGAGCATAAGCTCAGCGGCACTGCTATGGGTACCCACATGGCCCCACAGCATGCCAACATTTTTATGGCTGACTTAGAACAACGCTTCCTCAGCTCTCGTCCCCTAGCACCCCTCCTCTACTTGCGCTACATTGATGACATCATCAGATGGACCCACAGGAAGGAGGCCCTTGAAGATTTCCACCCCACCATCAACCTCAGCCTGGACCAGTCCACACAAGAGATCCACTTCCTGGATACTACAGTGCAAATAAGCGATGGTCACAAACACCACCCTATACCGGAAACCTACTGACCGTTATACTTACCTACATGCCTCCAGCTTCCATCCAGGACACATCACACGATCCATTGTCTACAGCCAAGCCCTAAAATACAACCAAATTTGCTCCAATCCCTCAGACAGAGACAAAACACCTACAAGATCTTTATCAAGCAGTCTTAAAACAATACCCACCTGGGGAAGTGAGGAAACAGATTGACAGAGCGAGACTGGTACCCAGAAATCACCTACTACAGGACAGGCCCAACAAGGAAAATAACAGACCACCACTGGCCATCACGTACAGCCCCCAGCTAAAACCTCTTCAGCACATTATCAGTGATCTACAACCTATCCTGGAAAACAATCCCTCACTCTCCCAGACCTCGGGAGACAGGCCAGTCCTTACTTACAGACAGCCCCCCAACCTGAAGCAAATACTCACCAGCAACTACACACCACAGAAATACTAACCCAGGTACCAATGCCTGTAGCAAACCTCGTTGGCTACTCTGTCCCCTTATCTGTTTTAGTAAGACCATCAGAGGACCCAACCACATCAGCCACACCATCAGAGGTTCATTCACTTGCATGTCTACTAATGTTATGTATGCCATCACATGCTAGCAATGCCCCTCTGCCATGTACATTGGCCAAACCAGCCAGTCCCTATGTGAAAGAATAAATGGACACCAATCAGGACATTAGGAATCGTAACATACAAAAGCCAGTGGGAGAACACTTCAATCTTCCTGGACATTCTGTAACAGATTTGAAAGTAGCTATACTTGAACCAAAAAAACCTTCAGAAACAGACTTCAAAGAGAAACAGCAGAACTAAAATTTATTTGCAAATTTAACACCATTAATTTGGGCTTGAATAGGGACTAGGAGTGGCTGGCTCATTACAGAAGCAGCTTTGCCTCTCCTGGAATTGACACTTCCTCATCTATTGTTGGGAGTGGACTACATCTACCCTGATCGAATTGGCCCTGTCAGCACTGGTTCTTCACTTGTTCTTCACCCTTCTCTTTATCATCAGTTTATTTATGTCTGCATCTGTAATTTTCACTCCATGTATCTGAAGTGGGATTTTTACCCACAAAAGCTTATGCTCAAATAGATCTGTTAGTCTTTAAGGTGCCACCAGACTCCTTGTTGTTTTAGTTAATACTACAAACTGCTTCCATTACAACCCTCCCCCAGTTTTCACACACCACTTCCTGAGGGTTCTGTTGTGGCTAAGATTACATGCCTGGGCTCAGTCCACAGTGATGTGTCTTCCATTGGGCCACATCCATGTGCCAGCTTGCACTACTGGTGAGGGGGAAGGATCATTAGTATCTACCCCCCCCCCCCGCCTTTACAGCACAATGTTCTTCAGTTCAGCTGGGTTTGATGTTTGTGTGCAAATGCGAAGCGCCACAAGCATGTGACTGGCCCTCACGGAGAAGCAGCCACTTGAACAAGTTTAAAAGTATTTATGCTAATGAAATCTAAAATTAAGAATTTAAAGAAAGCAGCTTGTGCCCAGCGCAAGCTTTTCGGGCCCCAGGGTCTGTCACTGATCGCAGTGCAGCACTCGGGAGAGGGGCTCCCAGGCACAGAGGCTGTGAAGGGTTTGCTCTGAGCGCACCGCCGGCGCGGCACCACGCAGCTGCGAGCGGGGACAGCAGAGCCCTCCGCTCCCCCCGCACCGGGCTGCGGGCAGCGCCACCCCAAGGGGCTCCCTCCCGCCAGACGCTAAGCAGCGCCCCCAGGCCAGGAGCCAGCCTGGCCCGCCGGGGGAAGGAAGCGCCCGGCGCTGCCCCCAGGGCCAGGGGCACCCGTGGCAGGCTGCTGGGGAGGAACGCCCGCCAGCCCGTACCTTCGCGCTCCCACTCGGGGAGCCGGCCCACGTCGCGGGTGGCGCTGCCCAGCACGGCCCGCGGCAGTGCCTCCATCCGCCCGTCCACCTTGTCGCGGCCGGCCGCGCCCGTGCCCTCTATGGCCCGACGGAAGCTGGAGCCCAGCGCCTCGCAGTCCAGACCCTCCAGCTCCTCGCGCAGCGCCCGCCGCTCCGCGCCGCCCAGTTCGGCCCAGAAGCGCAGCAGGTGGCTCTGCCCGGCCGCGGCCAGCCGGCGGCGCAGCACCTCGGGCTCCATGGGCAGGGAGCGCCCGGCAACCCCAGCCCGGGAACTCACGGCCCCCAACCAGCATGCACCTCCCGCCCGGCTACTGCCGCTGCCGCTGCCTCCGCCCCTGCCCACCAGCGACCACGCTTCCCGCTACCGCCCTCATATAGGCGGCTGCCCCCTGCCCCCCAGCGCCACCAATCGCTGGGCTCAGGAGCCGCCTGTCTCGCCGCGTCCGCCAGGACCACGACGCGCCCACCGGCCCTGACGTCATGGTCGGCGGCGGAGACGCGATCCTAATGGCTGAGAGCCCACGAAGGGCGGAGTCACAGCCACTTCCGCCCAATCGCTTTCTGGGGCACGTGGCAGGCCCTAGCGTATGCGGGTGTGGGCCACTCCAGTCCTCCACCAACTCCGCCGCTGTTTGCCATGGTGATGTTTGTGATGTCACATACACTCTACGTAGCCGACTCGTGGGGAAAGCAAAGGGAGAATCCTCAGCACTTTCTCCCAGCCACGTCTCACATCACCCCTCCCGCCTCCATTCCCCTCCCCCACAGCACCGCTTCCTACTCCCACCCAGCCCCTCTCCTCCCCTCTCCACTCCCTCACAGCACCGCTTCCTACTCCCACCCAGCCCCTCTCCTCCCCTCTCCACTCCCCCACAGCACCGCTTCCTACTCCCACCCAGCCCCTCCCTCTTCCACTCCCTCCCTCACTGCATTGCTCCCACGCAACCCTCTTCCCCTCCCCCCACAGCACCTCTCCCTGCTCCCACCCAGTCCTTCCCCCCTCCGCTCCCCCCACAGCACCTCTCCCTGCTCCCATCCAACCCCTCCCTCTTCCACTCCCCTCCCCCACAGCACCGCTTCCTACTCCCACCCAGCCCCTCTCCTCCCCTCTCCACTCCCCCACAGCACCGCTTCCTACTCCCACCCAGCCCCTCCCTCTTCCACTCCCCTCCCTCACTGCATTGCTCCCACGCAACCCTCTTCCCCTCCCCCACAGCACCTCTCCCTGCTCCCACCCAGCCCCTCCCTTCCCCTCTGTGCTCCCCCACAGCACCGCTTCCCTACTCCCACCCAACCCCTCCCTCTTCCACTCCCCTCCCTCACTGCATTGCTCCCACGCAACCCTCTTCCCCTCCCCCACAGCACCTCTCCCTGCTCCCACCCAGTCCTTCCCCCTCCCGCTCCCCCCACAGCACCTCTCCCTGCTCCCATCCAACCCCTCCCTCTTCCACTCCCCTCCCTTACTGCATTGCTCCCACGCAACCCTCTTCCCCTCCCCCACAGCACCTCTGCCTGCTCCCACCCAGCCCCTCCCTTCCCCTCTGTGCTCCCCCACAGCACCGCTTCCTACTCCCACCCAGCCCCTCCCTCTTCCACTCCCCTCCCTCACTGCATTGCTCCCACGCAACCCTCTTCCCCTCCCCCACAGCACCTCTCCCTGCTCCCACCCAGTCCTTCCCCCCTCCGCTCCCCCCACAGCACCTCTCCCTGCTCCCATCCAACCCCTCCCTCTTCCACTCCCCTCCCTTACTGCATTGCTCCCACGCAACCCTCTTCCCCTCCCCCACAGCACCTCTCCCTGCTCCCACCCAGTACTTCCCCCCTCCGCTCCCCCCACAGCACCTCTCCCTGCTCCCATCCAACCCCTCCCTCTTCCACTCCCCTCCCTTACTGCATTGCTCCCACGCAACCCTCTTCCCCTCCCCCCACAGCACCTCTGCCTGCTCCCACCCAGCCCCTCCCTTCCCCTCTGTGCTCCCCCACAGCACCGCTTCCTACTCCCACCCAGCCCCTCCCTCTTCCACTCCCCTCCCTCACTGCATTGCTCCCACGCAACCCTCTTCCCCTCCCCCACAGCACCTCTGCCTGCTCCCACCCAGCCCCTCCCTTCCCCTCTGTGCTCCCCCACAGCACCTCTCCCTGCTCCCATCCAACCCCTCCCCCTTCCACTTCCTTCCCACCACAGCACCGCTCCCTGCCCCCACCCAACCCCTCCCTCCTCCACTCCCCATCCTTCACAGCACCACTCCCTATTCCCACCCAACCCTTCCCCTCCCCCACCGTGTCGCTCCCTGCTCCCACCCAAACCCTCCACCCTCCACTCCCCTCCCTCCACAGCACTGCTCCCTGCCCCCACCACACCCTTAAAGCAGCACTCAAAGACAATAAGGCCATTGCTGAGAAACTAAATTAATTCTTTGCATCCGTCTTCACGGCTGAGAGTGTGAGGGAAATTCCCAAACCTGAGCTATTCTCTTTAGGTGACAAATCTGAGGAACTGGCCCAGATTGAGGTGCCATTAGAGGATGTTTGGAACAAATTGATAAACTAAACAAAAAGAAAAGGAGTACTTGTGGCACCTTAGAGACTAACCAATTTATTTGAGCATGAGCTTTCGTGAGCTACAGCTCACTTCATCGGATGCAACTATAGCTCACTGTAGCTCACGAAAGCTCATGCTCAAATAAATTGGTTAGTCTCTAAGGTGCCACAAGTCCTCCTTTTCTTTTTGCGAATACAGACTAACACGGCTGTTACTCTGATAAACTAAACAGTAATAAGTCACCAGGACCTGATGGTATTCACCCAAGAGTTCTGAAGGAATTCAAATGTGAAACAGTAGAACTACTAACTGTAGTCTGTAACCTATCATTTAAATCAGCTTCTGTACCAAACGACCGGAGGATAGCTAATGTGACACCAATTTTTACAAAGGGCTCATAGATTAACATAATTTGTTGGGGAAGAGTCAACATGGTTTTTGTAAAGGGAAATCATGGCTCACCAATCTCCAAGAACTCTTTGAGGGGATCCGCAAGCATGTGGACAAGGGTGATCCAGTAGACATACAGTAATCAGGAAGGCCAAATCACACTTGGAGTTGCAGCTAGCAAGAGATGTTCAGAGTAACAAGAAGGGTTTCTTCAGGTATGTTAGCAACAAGAAGAAAACCAAGGAAAGTGTGGGCCCCTTACTGAATGAGGGAGGCAACCTAGTGACAGAGAATGTGGAAAAAGCTAATGTACTTAATGCTTTTTTTGCCTCTGTCTTCACGAACAAGGTCAGCTCCCAGACTACTGCACTGGGCAGCACAGCATGGGGAGGAGGTGACCAGCCCTCTGTGGAGAAAGAAGTGGTTCGGGACTATTTAGAAAAGCTGGACGAGCACAAGTCCATGGGGCCGGATGTGGTACATCCGAGGGTGCTAAAGAAATTGGCAGATGTGATTGCAGAACCATTAGCCATTATCTTTGAAAACTCATGGAGATCAGGGGAGGTCCCGGACGACTGGAAAAAGGCTAATGTAGTGCCCATCTTTAAAAAAGGGAAGAAGGAGGATCCTGGGAACTACAGACCAGTCAGCCTCACCTCAGTCCCTGGAAAAATCATGGAGCAGGTCCTCAAAGAATCAATCCTGAAGCACTTGCATGAGAGGAAAGTGATCAGGAACAGCCAGCATGGATTCACCAAGGGCAAGTCATGCTTGACTAACCTAATTGCCTTCTATGACGAGATAACTGGCTCTGTGGATGAGGGGAAAGCAGTGGACGTGTTATTCCTTGACATTAGCAAAGCTTTTGATGCGGTCTCCCACAGCATTTTTGCCAGCAAGTTAAAGAAGTATGGGCTGAATGAATGGACTAAAAGGTGGATAGAAAGCTGGCTAGATCATCAGGCTCAATGGGTAGTGATCAATGGCTCCATGTCTAGTTGGCAGCTGGAATCAAACGGAGTGCCCCAATGGTCGGTCCTGGGGCCGGTTTTGTTCAATATCTTCATTAATGATCTGAAGGATGGCATGGACTGCACCCTCAGCAAGTTTGCAGATGACACTAAACTGGGAGGAGTGGTAGATTCGCTGGAGGGTAGAGACAGGATACAGAGGGACGTAGACAAATTAGAGGATTGGGCCAAAAGAAATCTGATGAGGTTCAACAAGGACAAGTGCAGAGTCCTGCACTTAGGACGGAAGAATCCCATGCACCGCTACAGACTAGGGACCGAATGGCTAGGCAGCAGTTCTGCAGAAAAGGACCTAGGGGTTACAGTGGACGAGAAGCTGGATATGAGTCAACAGTGTGCCCTTGTTGCCAAGAGAGCTAAAGGCATGTTGGGCTGTATAAGTAGGGGCATTGCCAGCAGATCAAGGGACGTGATCGTTCCCCTCTATTCGACATTGGTGAGGCCTCATCTGGAGTACTGTGTCCAGTTTTGGGCCCCACACTACAAGAAGTGGAAAAATTGGAAAACATCCAGCGGAGGGCAACTGGAAAATGATTAGGGGACTGGAACACATGACTTATGAGGAGAGGCTGAGGGAACTGGGATTGTTTAGTCTGCGGAAGAGAAGAATGTGGGGGGATTTGATAGCTGCTTTCAACAACCTGAAAGGGGATTCCAAAGAGGATGCATCTAGACTGTTCTCAGTGGTAGCAGTTGATAGAACAAGGAGTAGTGGTCTCAAGTTGCAGTGGGTGAGGTCTAGGTTGGATATTAGGAAAAACTTTTTCACGAGGAGGGTGGTGAAGCACTTGAATGCATTACCTAGGGAGGTGGTTGAATCTCCTTCCTTTGAGGTTTTTAAGGTCAGGCTTGACAAAGCCCTGTCTGGGATGATTTAGTTGGGGATTGGTCCTGCTTTGAGCAGGGGGTTGGAGTAGATGACCTCCTGAGTTCCCTTCCAACCCTGATATTCTATGATTCTATGATACTTAGATTTTCAGAAAGCCTTTGACAAGGTCCCTCATCAAAGGCTCTTATGCAAAGTAAGCTGTCATGGGATAACAGAGAAGGTCCTCTAATGGATAGGTAACTGGTTAATGTTAGGGGGCTTATTCCTTCACCCACTTACTTCCCTGGTCCTTCTCGCATGAACAGAGAGCAACAATACCCGAAGTCCAAAGGTGCAAACAATTCGATGTTTATTGGGGTGAACTTCCAGCAAGCATGATTCCAGTTTCCTTCCTTAGTATCCTCCTTCCCAGCTCTGACACCACAGAGCCTTACACCTGTGTCCCTGTTCCCATTACTACCCTTAGCCAAACATGATTCCAACTTCCTTACTCCCATTCCCTGTTCCCATTTCCCCCTTTAGCAAAACATGATTCCAATTTTCTTACCCCCATTCCCTGTTCCCATCTCCCCCTTTAGCAAAACATGATTCCAATTTTCTTACCCCCATTCCCTGTTCCCATTTTCCACACCCACATGCCCATGCCCACCCCCACCCACACCCAGTCAC